GTTAAAAATAAGATTTTTTTTTTTTGAATTTACGTGTAATATTATTTTATTGGAGAATGTGCGGGTAATGATCTAAATGGACACTGAATTTTGCAAAGGTTTCTAAGGGGTCATCGAACTTTAAAAATCTCATCATTCATCGCTAAATTTTACAATTTGTAATTTCGTTCATCACCGACTTCTCGTGATTGCATACATGGATACTAAATCTGCTGAGAAATATGCCACATAAGCAACCACGTAGCATTCCGTCAAATTTTTGACGGACCATAAGGTCAATGATGAGCGGGATTACGAATTAAAAAGTTTAATGACGAATGTAGTGACTTTTAAAATTCAGTGATCCCCTGAAAACCTTATGCAAAATACATTAATCATTGAGGTTATTATCCCCAAAAAGAATGACAAGTTATTTCCTTCTTTTTCCTTTTTTAAATTTAACATTTTCAGTTTTGAAAAAAAAAATTATATATATGCTATNAATTTTTTTCCTTTTTTTTTCTTTTTTAAATTTTACCTTTTTTTGTTTTTAAAAAAAAAATTATATATATGCTATCAATCTTTGCATAAAAGAGAAAAAGAGAAGAAGAAAAAATAAACTTTATCTACTTTAATTAAATAAAAAATAAAACAATAATTTAAGTCTAACATAAATGGTAGAATGAATAAATATATATTTTGTTATAAAAGAGAGAGAGAGAGAGAGAGAGAGAGAGAGAGAAGTTAATGGCTCAAAGCTCCATATTTATAGGGAAGAATTATGACAGCAAGAGATACAATTGTCATAATAACTAGGGCCTAGAGATATAGTGGTCATTCACTAATAAACATATAATTTACAACATATTTCTACTTATATTTCTATGATTTTCAAGAAAATGTTGCCATGTTTGATTGCAATTCAATTCCATAGAAGATGAAAATTAAATTTCATTTTTCACATTTTTGCATATTTGATTGTCCAAAATTTTCATAGAATTGGTTTTCTATTTTTCACCCATATGCTTACATTTTCTTGGTTTTTGATTAAAAAAAAAAGGCTTTCTAGTCCACTTTTTTTTAAAAACTTTTTTGGCAATGGAAACAAATTTATTCTTTTAATAGATAATTTTTTTGGAAAACAAATCCAAACGAACACCAAAATATCCAAAATTTCAATATTTTTCAGATGGAAAATGATACTAATCAAACACAATTAATTGACAATTCCCAGTAAAACAAATTCCACGCAGTTCAATTCCCTGGAATTCATTTCTTTCCACCCAAATTTCATTCTTGCAATCAAACAGACCATAATTAAAAAAATTAAGGCTAAACAGCACAATACCACCCTATCTATTGGACAAACGGTCTAAAACCTCCCTACCTTTGAAAATAGCACAAAACGTCCATATTTGAAATGTTTAGCGTAGAATACCTCAATGTCGTCGATTTTCTCAATAAAAAATTATGAAATGATGAATATACCATCACATTTAAATAAATTTAGGTTCCCTTTGGAATCAAATCAAATTCAAATTTTCGGATATTTAGTAAGTAGAACCGTTGGGTCCAAATTTAATTTTGGAATCGGGGTTCGATTCAATTTCCTAATTTCGTACGATAATTAAGTTTTTTAATATTTATAACAACGCTACACTAGATGTACTTCAGCTAGCTGGGGCCTGATCGTGATGTGTATTCCATCAAATAAAAAATTATGTAGAATTTTTAGGTAGTTATAAATTTGAATTGCCGTTCAACAATTTCTTGAGTGGAGCCTCGGAGGCGACTGGAGCTCCATAATTAGGGTCAAGTCGACCACGATGTGTCCTTAGAACTCTTTGGTTTTAAATTTGTATGATGGGATAATCTTGAAAAGTAGAACTTCCAAATTTGATCCTATATACTTTAGGGTTTCCAAAGAATATGATCTACCTAATTTATGTCGTTCATGTTAGGGTAAGATAAAACC